AGAAAGATGCAGCGTAAAACACATTTTTCAAAAAAATGAAAATCTGCATAAAATCTATACCGTTTTATGGATTTTAATAAAATTTGAGGAGGACATACTTTCTATGATACTCTATTTGTGTGCCAAATTTCAACCCGGTATCTAAAAAATTGTAGAAGTAGATGCGTGTACAAAAAATCCGTACACACACACACACACACACACATACATACATACTTCCGGACATTTTTTACTAATACGATTTTTCGACATTTTAGAACATTCTAAACCTATTTCCATCAAAATCTCGAAAAAAAATTTTTTCACCATCACAAAGCTTCCTCTATGAGGAAGCAATAATTATTTCCGCAAGTTTGCACTGGGGCTTTCGACTTCTTTTAGTATGTACTAAATACGTGGCTGCAAAAGTAGATTCAAATCGAAGGGGGGTCGCATATACGGAACTCTAGCCAAAACTTGTTTAAAAAAATTGTTTACGTTGATAAACGAATATAAGCAAAGCAATAGCTAATTAAACAAATGTTATGTAGAAATATGTGTCTCATGTTTCTTGTGCATTCATAGAAACTGTGAAACGTACATAAAACTTCGCTTTGAGGCATCCATTTCATAACCATTACATTTTCCGGTATCTCAAATGGCACTTCAATATCTAACTTCCACAGCACTCGCTGCTTCAGTTTCGACAGAGCCAGTATAACAGATTTAACCGTGTCTAAATTGAGATGTTTCCATTTCACATTCGTTCCTAACGATATTACGATAGCTCCATTCTTTGCTCCGTCAAGAAATATGCGCACATCCTGCAAAATAATGGTGAACTGAATATTTCGATAATATACAAAAATATGAATCTTAATGACGAAATATAATCGTAAGTAACTGATACATTTTTAATGGATTATATCTAAGCAGAATTATATTATCAAGCTTGTTTAAATAAGATTTATGCGGCATTCTTTTTAGAAGTTGTTGTAATAAATACAATATTATTATAAAAAATATTTCTACGTTTCTAAATTTAGCAATATTCCGTGTAAAATATTTATCTTTTGCTTACAATTTATTGATTATTATGTAAATTAATTAATAATTAATCATTATAATAGAAATTACCTTACAAAATAGAATTGCAATTTATTCATTTATCTATAGATATTGAAAATATAGCATATATATGTGTTTTTTACATAAATTTTAATTTCTATACAGCACACATGCATGTTTAAAAAACATCTTTACAACGTCTTATACGTACACAACCAAACAGCGTACATTCTGGGTTGATTATATGTATATGTATATGTACAATGTACATTATATTACACAAAAAATAAACGCTTGCAAAAACTGTTATAAATTTGAGTAAATGTCTATAAAAGGTCAAACTTCACCGATTTTATTACTACTTTAATATGTTGTAGAGGAGATCTTTCTGAGTAATTCTATGCAAGAAAAAAGTAGGAGACGGCATTGGTTTAGAAGAAATAGTAAATTAAAGTTTCTCAATTTTAAAACATTTTTTTTTAAATATTATAAAGTACATTAATTTTAAAAGAAGTAATTTGCCGTATGTGTTTATAGACACATAAATTACTGATATGTGTGTACAGACAGTACACATATAGGCGGAGAAGTTACCGCCCTTCTTCCGTAGGCAAAGATGAGTAGGGATGGACCTCGGTTCGCGTGGAAAGTTGAAAGCCCGAACCTTAATAGACCTTCTTTCGCTCTGTAATCAGAGATAGGATGGGGTAGACTGAAGCGAGATTCATCTCCTCTTCCCGCCTTGCTTATAAGATAAAACAAAGGTTTATCATTGTACGGTTCAGGTTTTCAACTTTCTACGCAAACCGAGGTCCATCTTCACCCATTCTTGTCTGCGGGAGAGGGGCGGTAGTCCCTCCGCCGCCTACATGTGTACTGTATATATACACACATATCAATAAATTACTTCCCTTAGCACTGAAAAATAATATTTTGTTATTGTTAGTTTGTTATTGCTATATTTTGTAATTTTATTTTGTTATTATTCTAAAGTATTCTTCAAACTATTCAACTTTTGTTTAAAATTTTTTTCTATCTTTTATCTATTTTATCTTTTTTTATCTGTCGGAGACATTCGGCCCAAAAGAGAAAAGCCGTTTTCTCTTTTGAAAGTTGTTTTCAAAGGAGTGTTTTACACCTTTAAATATGCGTATGATAACGATATTAAAGATGCGTATGAACACGTACTATAAATAAGTACTTCTTATTTTTGTATAGAAAACAACATATTAAAAGCTCATCAAAATCGGAGACGGACACTTCCATATTTTTCTTTGTGAGATATTTTGTCATGACATTTTTAATGTACTAGACATCGCTACGCACGCGCTACTTAGCTTTAATATTATACTGTTGCTATTATACTATTAACCCTTTAATACACACAATTGTCAAAATATACGATGACAGCCGCTCACGAATAAATAAGCGCAACAAGAGAACCAATCAGCATCGCGGAAAAGCGACAATAATAAAATTTGAAGTATAGGCTCCAATGGAAATCCGCACGAATATAGAAAACGGGCTAACTAAGATCCGAGCGCGGTAAATGGTGCGCGAAAGTTTTATTTATATTTTTATTTTACATATTTTCCAACCTTTGACTGCGCGCCGACTAGATTTGTCAGACTTGAAAAACAGCTCCGGTTGGAGTATAGTAAAATCCCTTCTACACCTAATTAAATCGATTCGATTTAATTTTTTATGCTATATGCATCTAAATAATTGTAAAAAAAATCATTGCGAAAAATATAAATAAAACTTTTGCGCATTATTTACCGCGCTTGGTTCTTATTGTTAGCCCATTTTCTATATTCTGGCGGATTTCCATTGGAGCCTATACTTCAAATTTTAAATCACGCTGGCTGAAAATATGCGTAATATTACAACTAATAATAGGTTATTGCGATAAATATTACCACATGCCTCAGTGGTCGAATTGGTGCGACACCTTCACAGAATGAAGTTCCAGGTTCGAACCCTGGCTGAGGTAATATTTTTCGCAATGATTTCTTTACAGTTATTTAGATGCATATGGCATCAAAAATTAAATCAAATCGATTTAATTAAATAAAGGGGGGGGGATTTTACTACTCCAACCGGAGCTGTGTTTCAAGTCTGACAAATCTAGTCGGCGCGCAGTCAAAGGGGTTGGAAAATATGTAAAATAAAAATATAAATAAAACTTTCGCGCATTATTTACCGCGCTTGGTCCTTAGTTAGCCCGTTTTCTATATTCACGTGGATAATAATAAACTTCGAGTATCGACTTTACATGCCTTTTTTTTAAGTGGAAAATGCGAAATATTTTGTAAAGTCATTTTTCGATAATTTTACCTTTATACTTTTTCATAGATAGAATAATGAAAGGATTTGATTGTCGTAAAACATTAGAAATAATTATTTTAAAAAAATTGATTGCATTTTGTAGACGCATTCAATTTTGCATAATTGCAAATTTAAAATTAATAACATTATTCGATTTTTTTTTTATTACGCTACGTATAAAAGTATCAAGGTAAAGTTATCGAAAAGTGAATACTTTACAAGATATTTCATATTTTATATTAAAAATGTCATGACATTATACAATTTAAAATGTCTTAGGAAATTTTTAACGAAAGAGAGTTTCATTATAATGTTTTGAAAACGTCTCGACATGAGACGGCGGCCTGACATAAAAAATAAGAAGTTTTATTTAAAAAATTTGAGGTGATTTTAATCTAACTTAACTGGACCTTGAAAAGGTCACTCAAGGTTAAGTCTATATTTTTATCATGTGGCCTTTTCCAAACCATGCAACTTTTGTCTATGACGAGTTACAGAAGAGATATTAAAATGCATTACTTTAATAGGACCCCTTGCATAATACAAAATGCATAATATAAAATATATAACGAACCAGGGTTCGTATAACTTCTCTTACCTCAGGATACGTTACGATCACCTCGCCGGCAATTGGTTGCACGGCCTGAGCATTTAATCCTGCAATCTCTAGGGTATTCGGTGGCAGTGGTATCGCAGATTCGAGCGCAGAATGACTATTAATTAGTACAATATTTATACTTTCTCTTTCTATTTTATGTAATGGTCTAATTGCATGGCCTACATATTCTTCAGTAAGTCGTTGAATAATAGGAAAGAAATAGTAATGTCGTATGAGATCATCCACAATGTAATATAAAACATTCCACGTTCTCAGCCACAAACCTTCAGGTTTTGCAATGGCTGCATGTGTGTAAGATCGAACAGTCGGATAACTTGGACCACCGATATAATCCTTGAGATAAGGTGTAGCACCAAAAGGAATATAGCCTACTATGGGTGGCTTGCCTTTAGCAATCTGAAAAAACAATACCTACCTACAGACAATGGAAAAAGCTAAAACTAAATATGTAGATATTATTTTTGTAATAAACAAAATAGAATAAATTAAATACTATTTTGCAGAGAAAGTCACTTTTATTAGCAGATAATGCAAAAATAATAATGTAGTTGAAGTTTGAGCAGATCCTAAAACAAAAATTAAAATTTTCCCTAATAAAGAAAGTATTAAAAAAAATAGATTTATATGTATAACACAATAAAATTATAACGAAAAATTGGAAAAACTGTTGTCTAGGGGACCCATCTCCAATGACCTTTACATTGACAGGCATATTATGTAGTGTCAAAGTCACCCTCCTAAGAAATCTTCAAAAGGTTTTAGCCGTCGTTCAATGTTTATTGTAAAGTTATTTACAACATAATTTTAATAAATAAAACGTTATACTTTTCCGACACCGTGTTCCGGTACATGTAAGGAGTCAGCATATAATGGTAGGGGAACCCAGAGCATAATAAGAACGCTAAGGTTTGAACAAGTGTAAAACATATTAAATATAAATAAATTAATAAACTTGGTCTTGCACTAAAATATTTTTTGAAATATTCACTATAAAAAAAATACAAGTGCGAAAAAATAGTATATATTTTGGCACAAATTGCGAAAACAATCGTTAGAATTTTTTTTACATATACTAGTATAAGCATAAATAATATAACGCATAAATAAACAAAGCATTCCAGGCCTCGACTGTTAACAAACTATTATGCTTTCTAATAGCGTTTTTAATGGTGTTGGTAGTGAATCTTAAAAATTATTTTCATACATGTACATTTTCGCACAAAGCACAAGAACAATCATTATGAATATTTCTTACATATATGCAAGTACGGCCGGATACTTCGGATTAAACAATTAAGGCACTTCCGGGGCTCAACTATTAACAAACTATTTTTTTTTTATTCTAATGGATTTTAACGATTGTCCTCACTCTTGTATATTTTGGCACGCAAATCACTATTTTCGTAAAAAATTTATCCTACGACCTCTTTTATTGCTTCCTCATAGAGGAAGCTTTGTTTTCGTAAAAAAATTTTTTTTTAGTTTCGTTGCCAATGTGTTCAGAATGTTCTAAATATTCTAAAACGTCGAAAAATCGCATTAAAAAAAATGTCCGTAAACCTCAACTACAAAAATATAATATACTTATAAAAATAAACCATCGCTTTGTGCAGAGGTATGTATAATTATTATTTCCGTGTATTGTTTCCTGTTCGTTAAGTTAGTGTTACTGCATCAATAACAGGGTTCTCAATTATTTATAAAAATTCCCAACAAGAAACTGCCGAGTTTGTAAAAGAGAATCTCCACGACCGCAATATTATATTATTAAAATACTACATCCAAAATACGATAACAATTTTCTTGTATCCTTTTAATAATATTTATTTTAATAAATTTATATATGTAAATCTTTTTCGTACTATGTGATAATAAAAATGATTGATTTCTTCTACAGCATAATGTTATAGTCATTTCGGTCTGTCTAGTGAGTGTCTACTCATATAGTTTTAGTAACTTCCAGATTATTACTCTACTTATCTGTACAGAGAACGCCACGAAATATTTCACGTATTTTTTCACATTTTCCACATCAGAGATGTTCTGATGAAGTTTTGTATTTCACTATCGTTTTAAACAAATAATAAGAAGCGATTGTGAAGATTATCACTGATATGATTATACTGACAATAACTAGACACTTTCAATTTGTTACGCAACGCACTCGATTTAAAAGGCAACTTCGCTAAGTCGTATGCAGTTTCAAAATAGCCTAAACAATTAAAATTTACTAATGTTGATTGCTTTACCTCCCATAATCCGTAGAAACATTGAGTTAAAGTAATGTCTTGCACTATTACGTCAAACTCGACTGTTTTAATCACTTTCAAAAGATCTCTCGCTGTTTCAGTTTTTATCAATGTGTCACATGCGTGAATACCCCACTGATATACAAAATATGCCGTATAAAATACGCTATACTTCTGCCACTCAACTGGGTCATAATTATTAGATTCATCATAAGTATCCATTAGACTATCGAAAACCTGAAAATAATAAGTACTCTTTGCTATACAGGAGAGGACATACGAAAATGTGACAAATTAACATTTCCAAAAGCATATTGATCTTACGTAAAAAGAAAAAAACATTTTAAAATAGAAAAGTTATGTTTTTTCTTATTTGTTTTATGATTTGCAAATAATCGATTTATATCTCTCAGAATGTCTTCGAGTCTCTACTTAATAATATATACTTACGGCGTATGTTAAATTTTGCGCGAGTTTACCCTTGACCTTAGTCTCTAATATGCTGACTGCGTGTACATGATGACCTTTGCGAAGTAGTCCTTTAACCAAATGCTCTGTCCAGACGTGGTGGCTAGGCGACGGAACAGTCTCTACCACTAAAATCGACAATGGTTTCGACGCTATCACGATATCACCCATTAAAATACAACAAATCAGAAAAATGACGCGACTCAACATTGTTGCGCAAAACTTCTTGTATGGTCTCTCAATCAGATCCTGAGACCGAATATATCTGCATGCCTGTAGCATGCCTGTAGCCCATGCAATGTAGCATTCCCCTTCTCCGCATTTCGAGATAATAGCGTTATCATAATTTTACTTTATGTAACTAATAAGACGTATGAATCGGCCTGTAGCAATAATTTTTATCGTCGTGACGATTCAATTATTGATTTTGGCCCGATTAATCGTCAAGACGTTTATAATTTTTTATACTTATATATATGTATAAGCATCTCATTTTTTTTTTAAATAAATTAAATTAAATTATTAAATTTATTGCGAAAAATATTACCTCAGCCAGGGTTCGAACCTGGAACCCCCCCCCTTCATTCCGTGAAGGTGTCGTATTAATTCGACCACTGGGGCATGTGGTAATATTTATCGCAATAACTTATATTAGAGAAATAATAATACAAGATGGAAATACCGAAATTTTTTTTTGGTTGGAGCACCATTACTAGGCCAGGTGTATCAAATTCAATGCAATTGTGGCGGTCAGCTGTCCGCCACAACGCGCGACGGTGCACGCGCGACGACGGCAGTAAGACGGGAGGCGCGCGGCGCGAGCAGCGGCACGATATCGATCGGCCGGGCAGTTCAACGCGCGCCCGCTACGCGGCGCATCGCCGGTCGATTCTCTCGTAAGTAAGGTTCGACATCGATCCTTATATAAAGAGCAGCTCAGCAGGACCTGTCCAGCGATCAGCTCACCAGTCAGGGTGTGCTATTATCAAGGCCCCT